GTCTGTGTATAAAAAATGTAGAATTTGGTTTAAACAATGTTCTCGCGTTTGTTTAGGTTAGTTAATAACCTGAATAAATGAATTTCATATGATAAATTAAATAAGTGCAACTGTTCTCGTTTCAGACACTATATAAATGCACGAAGGCCCATCATCGGTTTTACTTTCACTTTTTTTCTTTACGTTTTGACTTTTTCTAAGTTTTTCTTTTTCTTCCTCTGCCTCAACATACCTTTTACTCCCTATTTTCCTGTTAGTGTAGGCATATGCAATTCAAGACTCATTAGACCGTAGGGTTTTGATTCCTTCTTTAGATTTGAATTCAAACCTGGCATTGAGTCTTGTTTTCAATTCACATATTTTCAAACGACTGTTTAACTTTTATACTGTTTCTAATGGAAAAACCCTAATGTTACATCAACTCCATCTTCAATGGAAACCCTAGAACTAGGAACCCTCTGAGATTGTTTTTAGTAAGGACTTGAGGTTCTTTTTAGTGTGTTTATACTCAAATTTAAATTTGAGTAAGAATTTAGGTATTGATTGAAGAGGCTTTAATGAATGGTCCATCTTAATTTTAAAAGGAAAAATTGGAACAGGGTACACCAAATTAGAGTTCATTGTAAAAAAGTCTTTAATTTTGATAGTTATTTGTTTCCAAGTATATTATTTGAAATTTCTATATTTTTTTTTGACTTTTATATCCTTCCTTCATCCATGCGTATTTTTTTTTGGAAAGTGGTGCATTAAACATCTTCTATTTTTATGAGAAAACTTTAATATTCCGTATTTTTATGTCCTCCCTTGATTCATGCGTATTTTTTTTAGAAAGTGGTTTTGTTTTCAAATTATATTTAATGTACCTTGATTCATACATATATATTTTTTTTTTGGAAAGTGGTTTTGTTTTTAAATTATATTAATATATGAACTCTATAATAGTGTAATAAGATATTTATACAAAATATTGTACTATTACATTTTGTCAAATATATATTTTTATTCAAAACTGTTCATCTTTGTTTTGCATTTATTATCACACGCACAAAACTACTGAACATTGTTTTTGTTGCAGTGTATTGTTACACTATTATGGAGTCCAGATATTAAAAAAATTTAAAATTTAAACAAAGTGATATATTCTAAAATAAACAGAATATTAAAGTTCTCTCATAAAAATAGGAGATATCTAATGCATAAATATAATTTAAAAATAAAATTAATTTAAAAAAAATACTCATGAATCAAGGTGCATTAGAGATTTCGAATTAAATAATCATAAATTTAAGCGCTTAAGATAAATACCTTGTTGCAGTTTTTAGGAAATAAAATTTTACAAAATGGGCATTTAGGTCTTTGTATTTCAATTATTTACTTTTTTTCAAAATATTTTGTTATGTATATTTTTTTATAATTATGTTTAATTTAGTATACCGATTTCTTTTAAAATAGGGTAAGTAGGAGCCCAGAAGCTCACTTGAGTCAGTCGGGTCGAGTGACTTGACCCAAATGACCTAACTTGAAAAATATGAGAAATTTGGAGGTCAGTCCTCCTGGATGGACTTGTTTGGAGATAAGTCCTACAAGTAAACCTATTTGGTTTGAAGTCCATTTTTTGCCATTTTTACTATTATACCCTTGTTTATTTAAAAATCCTAAACGTCGTTTAACTTACCGTTTGTTTTCTTAGACGAAGAACCCTTTAGTTTCCATCTTTTTTGCAACCAGTAACTCCCGCTTCCTTCATTCCAGGCTACGAATCCGACAATATTCCTCAAATATTTCCCATTCTCTTTCTCCAAAAACCATAAACCTCCATTATCCAAACTGAATCAATTCAAAATTGAAACTGGTTTCACACAATAAAACCGAAAATCAGAGTTACTCTTCAAATTTATTCGACAAAAAGCTACAATTGTTCTCGGCATTCTTCAAATCTTCACAAAGCTTTGGGATTCTGTAAAAATTTGTAAGGTATGTGATATTACATGAACTTTGATGTTTTTTTTAGGGTTTTAAAACTACATTTACACCCTATGTATTTTCGTACTGTCTAATTTTTTAAAAAAAAAAAATTTTAAAATAATATTGTGAGTTCTTATTACTATATAAAAGATTTGGGTATTATGATTTCGTTTTTTATTTCATGGTGTTATAAATTCAAAATTGATTGGTGTGGTTTCTTTGGAATTTCTAATGTTATTGTGAGATCAATTTTAAAAATTTATTATCTTAATGTCGATATATTGATGTTATTGATTTGTATTGAGTGTCTTAAATTAACCATTAACATTGTATTGTCATTATTTCATGATAGTAACATCAAATCTTTTGAATTTAGATGTTACTGTGCACAATATGAGATTTGGGATGGACCTGTTCGTGTTACTGTTACTTAAATCATTCTGTTATATAATTAGATGTTTAAATTTTTTGCTGCTTTCTTCGTTGTTCTAGAAATTCAAAAATCATTGGTTTAAGAGTACATTGAAACTTTTTAGGTTACTGTGTGATAATTGAAAAAATGATTTCATACTTTCAATAAATTGATGTGTTTCAGTACTGTGGATGTTACTAACATCTTGGTGTTACTGTAAACATGTTACTTATCAAAACCTTCTATATTTACTGTAAACATGAAAATATAGAATGGAGTTGTTTGGACCCACAAGAGGATGAAATCTGAGCTGGACGTTTTTGAACTGAATTTGAGATAATAGCCCATTAATTTTGACGTAAATCATGCAGCTGAATATGATATTCTATTTTCCTTAAAAAACTGAATATAACTGTTGCCATATATATCTCAAAATATCTAATCTATAACTTTCCATAATTATTCAAGATTAACACCGTTAGGAATATTTTTGAGATTAAAAAAAAATAGACTTAAGTCAATATACATAATTTTAAAAGTGGACTTAACCCCTTATAAATTTTATTGCCAGACTTATCTACAAATAAGTACATCCAGGAGACTTACCCTCAATTTTCACGAAAAATAAAGATTGGGTCGTCTTCTCTACCAATAGACTTGGCCCGAGCAAAAATTTTGCTAGACAAGGTCATGGCTAGCCCTATAGTCATCACCATAGAGGCATGGGCCCGTCAATCCACATGATCCAAGTGGCTGAGCCTAAAGATCAGATTAACTTTTCTTCCAACAGTCTTTCGCCTTTGTCAAAAAATTCGGTGTTCCGAGCTTGAAGTCACGGCCCTTAAAGCATTCGTTGCTATCACTATTAATCATACGAACTTGACAGAAAATTAAGTAGTAGAAGTAATCTGACTTTTATTTAATCTCCAAAACCCGTTACAAGCAAGTATACTTACTAGCTGCTAAAAAACTTACATTCTAAAAAACCTAGTAAAATCTATTTTGGTCATCACACACTACTTTTTATGATATTATAGTATAATTGTGATAGACCCAGCCCACACTGACTCATTGGCACATAGCATAGTGAAGCTGTGCTCTCAAGCCCGGCTGCTAAAACTTTTATTGAACCGACTTAAAGGTATAGAATTTGTGAAATATTTCAATAAGGAGCCATTGCTGGGGCAACAGTGAACTTCACTGGCTTCATTGATTCGGGTCCAGGAGCGACGTATCCAGAGCTTTTGATCTCGGACATTCCACGACGTTCGATTTCTCCTTTTGCTTCGCATAATTTGGGAAGATACACACCTGCCAAGGAGCTCACATAATTATCCTTCATGTTGATGCTAAAGTGGACAGACGATCTGAGCAATTTGAGCCTAATTTGGTTATAACTCATGTAATTTTGTTCAAATTTTGAAATTTTTTGCACAGAAACTGAGTGAAAGATTCTTTCTTAGGCTCTAGATTGCTAAAACTCATTAACTCAAGTAGTAATAAAAACGAGTTGTAAATTCAGAAGTCTTGAATTAAAATTTTGAAAACCCTTTGTGTTAGGTTACGAGGGATTCTCTTGTGAATACCTTATTTTTGACATGGATAGTCCAAATTTAATTAAAATGAAGAGAAAATTAATCAAATTGTACAAACTTGTCTAAATACTACGGACCATTGAACTAAAAGTAAAATCCCCCAAGTTTTGCCGAACTGAGTTTGGGCAAGGATGCATGTGAACTCAACAATCGAGCTCAACTTCTCACAATCAAATCAAAATTGGGTAGCTAGACATAAATGAGAAAGAATGTGCACATAAATCAGCGTTATTCTACATGTATCTGCATAATACCTTCACCGGCGGCAAGATTGAAGTAGAGATCGACAATGCTNGATGTTACTAACATCTTGGTGTTACTGTAAACATGTTACTTATCAAAACCTTCTATATTTACTGTAAACATGAAAATATAGAATGGAGTTGTTTGGACCCACAAGAGGATGAAATCTGAGCTGGACGTTTTTGAACTGAATTTGAGATAATAGCCCATTAATTTTGACGTAAATCATGCAGCTGAATATGATATTCTATTTTCCTTAAAAAACTGAATATAACTGTTACCATATATATCTCAAAATATCTAATCTATAACTTTCCATAATTATTCAAGATTAACACCGTTAGGAATATTTTTGAGATTAAAAAAAAAATAGACTTAAGTCAATATACATAATTTTAAAAGTGGACTTAACCCCTTATAAATTTTCTTGTCAGACTTATCTACAAATAAGTACATCCAGGAGACTTACCCCAATTTTCACGAAAAATAAAGATTGGGTCGTCTTCTCTACCAATAGGCTTGGCCCGAGCAAAAATTTTGCTAGACAAGGTCATGGCTAGCCCTATAGTCATCACCATAGAGGCATGGGCCCGTCAATCCACATGATCCAAGTGGCTGAGCCTAAAGATCAGATTAACTTTTCTTCCAACAGTCTTTCGCCTTTGTCAAAAAATTCGGTGTTCCGAGCTTGAAGTCACGGCCCTTAAAGCATTCGTTGCTATCACTATTAATCATACGAACTTGACAGAAAATTAAGTAGTAGAAGTAATCTGACTTTTATTTAATCTCCAAAACCCGTTACAAGCAAGTATACTTACTCGATTATACTTACTAGCTGCTAAAAAACTTACATTCTAAAAAACCTAGTAAAATCTATTTTGGTCATCACACACTACTTTTTATGATATTATAGTATAATTGTGATAGACCCAGCCCACACTGACTCATTGGCACATAGCATAGTGAAGCTGTGCTCTCAAGGCCGGCTGCTAAAACTTTTATTGAACCGACTTAAAGGTATAGAATTTGTGAAATATTTCAATAAGGAGCCATTGCTGGGGCAACAGTGAACTTCACTGGCTTCATTGATTCGGGTCCAGGAGCGACGTATCCAGAGCTTTTGATCTCGGACATTCCACGACGTTCGATTTCTCCTTTTGCTTCGCATAATTTGGGAAGATACACACCTGCCAAGGAGCTCACATAATTATCCTTCATGTTGATGCTAAAGTGGACAGACGATCTGAGCAATTTGAGCCTAATTTGGTTATAACTCATGTAATTTTGTTCAAATTTTGAAATTTTTTGCACAGAAACTGAGTGAAAGATTCTTTCTTAGGCTCTAGATTGCTAAAACTCATTAACTCAAGTAGTAATAAAAACGAGTTGTAAATTCAGAAGTCTTGAATTAAAATTTTGAAAACCCTTTGTGTTAGGTTACGAGGGATTCTCTTGTGAATACCTTATTTTTGACATGGATAGTCCAAATTTAATTAAAATGAAGAGAAAATTAATCAAATTGTACAAACTTGTCTAAATACTACGGACCATTGAACTAAAAGTAAAATCCCCCAAGTTTTGCCGAACTGAGTTTGGGCAAGGATGCATGTGAACTCAACAATCGAGCTCAACTTCTCACAATCAAATCAAAATTGGGTAGCTAGACATAAATGAGAAAGAATGTGCACATAAATCAGCGTTATTCTACATGTATCTGCATAATACCTTCACCGGCGGCAAGATTGAAGTAGAGATCGACAATGCTTGGGCAGCTGTCATAGCACTTAGAAGAGCAAAGCTTTTGAGCGAAGCGAGACTCAAGAAGAGAGTCAGAGGAGATTCCGAGCGCTTTTCGATCAAGTCCACAAGCTTCAATGCACTGATCGGTCTCAATCCAATCCTTGAGCCTATCCGCCTCGATCTCCGATGATCGGCATGTGTAAACTTCCTCGCCGCTTCGACGAACATGCTTCTCAAGCACGCAACGCTTTCCGGAAGACGATATTGCAAAGGCACATGAGTCTTTGTTGAGGTTCTCGCATGCTATGGACCCTACATCACGCAGTACAAATAAACCTTAACTGTGAGGTTTAAATAAGATATACCATTGAAGGGCAATTTTTTGGTATGTCACTCAAATTTTATTTTTAAGTACTATAGTTTTATCCTTAATGGTGTGGCAAAATCAGCAAATGCATGGACTATAGCTTTGGTTGATATATTGTGTGTGTGTGTGTGTGTGTGTGTGTTTGTACATGCAAACTCATTGGAGTTTATTTTGCACTAACCCAGAGTTCCCTGTATGCACAAAGAAAGCCCTAGAGCAAGAATGGCCAAAGTGCTCAAGCTCTGATAAGAAGCCATGAATATAATGGGTGGTTTGAGACTTAAGAGAGAGAAAGACAAGCTGGCTCAAAGTTTTTTGTTTTTTGGTTATAGAACTAGTGATGTGAAGATTCACGGAGGAGGAAGCCTTTTTTATACATGTTATAAGGTACACTGTAGAAAGACACCATTAATGGGACCGGATGTGAAAACAACGTAACCCTACCTTGAGACTTCTGAGAAGCCATGGTGGGTCCACAAAAGACTCAAAGGACTGGTTCTTTGAACGTTTCATTAACCTCTACTTTCAGAGGAGAAATCTTAGCTATCGAAGACTCCGCCATGAAAGGCGGATTAATGAAGTATTCATTCCACAATCCACAAGTTTGTGAAACCGAAGACTTTTCATGATTTGGTTTGATGGAAAAGAATACACGTCTGAAAATTAACCAAAAATACTGTTAGTCGTGTTGTTTTTGATTGCTTGCGCTTGGTGTTCGAATGAGAAATTAGATCTTTGTTTTGTTTAGTTATGCAGAGGTCAAAAATTTTTTGGTACAATAACGACTTGAGTGCGATAGTTCCTGATGCGTGGGAAATTTTGCGAGAACACTGGTGGCTCCGTTTGCTAGAAATGTTGGAAAGTAAGGGAATATATTTTTTATCCATTAAGAATAAAAAATAAAAATAATACATTTTATTACCTTTGTGTTTGATTGGATGGATGAAAAATAAAAATGAGTAATTTTTTTTTAATTTTTGTTGTGCTGGTTAAAATTAGGGATGACAATCAAGTCATGTTATATCATATTCGTATTGAGTCATAAAATTATGAGTCTTTTATATTTTCTCTTCTCGTGTTAGATTATTTTCAAGTTCGTGTCGAATTATAATCAAGTTCGTGTCATAAAATTCGTGTCGAGTTTGATTCATGTCATCGTGTTGAGTCAAAAATTTTCACTCCTAATTAAGATGAAAAAATTAGTTTTTTTTAATTTAAAATTTTTATTTTTATTTTTTAAATTTTTTTTAAAAAAAATATATATATAAATACATATTTTAGCATTATATTTTTATATAAAATTAATGTATACATAATATATAAACAAATAAGATATATCTCAATACAAATAATTAAATTTTCAACTACTTTTCTTCTGATTTTGGTGAATTGAAAGGAAAGTTAATTCATCCACCTTTTTATCCTTCCTATTTTTCTTTTTTATCAAATATGATATTTTATTTATCTCTCAAATTTTTCATCATTTCAACTTTTCATTATTTTATTTTTTTATCGTACTGAACAGAGGAGTTGCATGGGTAGTCCATTCTCATAAAAAGCCAAATAAACAACGTCGGCTGAGGCCACCTATATCTCGATATCTTATAATGCACTTTACTTCAATGTTTTTTCAATAGTCCGTCACTTGCAAGGTATTGGTGACGGAGCACGAAAATTTCAATGACTAACGATCGTAGTTAAACTCTCCGAACAATGTGACGTGTTGGTATATATCATGACTCTTACAAGAAGAATGAGATGACCTCTTAGAGTTGACTTATGGAAATGATCGGCCCTCTTACTATGTAGCATTTCTCCACTGGGAATTACATATAAGAAAATTTCACATCAAATAGAAAAATAAATGAAAAAATAGTCCTAATAAACAACTACCAGTCACTCGTAAATGCATGTTGAAAGAAAGCTACAATGACATTTACTGAACAAGGCTTCTGCTTTTGTGAGATTTAGGCAGGGTGAGAGAGTTATAGTCTTATTATTACTTACTATTAGATCAGTTTCATATGTCAAACCCTTAAATCCCATTACATCAACAACTAGCCCTTGAGCTGAAAGAAAGGAAAAGAAAAGAAAAAAAAAGAAAAGAAAAATTTTATGCCAGAAAGTTAAAGCATGTTTGGCAGTGCGTTAATTATAAGAAGTGAGTGCGAGCTCTTTACCCTTGTGGAGCACCACTTCCAGAAATAGGGAAAAATATTCGTTGCAAGGATGATACCCCTTCAACATTATTACGTAGTATCATTAATTAATAATAAACAGATAAATAAAAAAGTGAATCTCATATAAGTCAATAACTTTCCGTCTGTGTAAGCAGATAACTAACTATTTTTCTTTCATAGAAATCAATAACCAAAGAGGAGTTCCCTTTACCCAATTAGGATTTTATTATTGGTTAAACAGACCCTATGCCTCGTCAAACAACGTGCTTCACATCGATGCAAATAAAGACTTTTAGAAATGCCTTTCTTTTTGATTTCTTCAACTATATGGTTAATTAATCAAGAATAAAGCTATGCATTATAAATGGTTAATTAATTAGGAGTAAAGCTAGGCGTTATAAATGATTTATCAAATTTTATATTCTAAATGATGGGACAAAACCTTTATGTTTTTTTTTTTTTTGATTCAACTGTTAAGTGTATCCAGGCCAATTTATGCACACCTCAACTAATTCCCTATTTGGTCTAATCAAAAATAGACCATCTACGCCGGAATTAGGATAATAATGAGAGATAAAACCCTCATTAACCTGACCCTAATGAGTTACCAAGATTCGAACTCAGAACATTTAAGTTTACATCTTATTTTTGTTATTACTTGAGCTATCTAATAAGGTTAAAATCTTATGCATTGAATTTTTAGTAAAAGTGAGTGAGACCCACTAATGATATACAAAATTCCATAAAAAATTTAACAAACATATCAATACTCATTAGTCAAAGAGAACCACAAAAGAAACTTACATTCGCAGTCAGCTTCTTATAGGCGCATCGAATGGACTGTTTTTTTCTCCTTCCCGTCATTTGCGGGGCAAACTTAATTGAAAGAATTAAGACTTTGTTGGGTCGTAAAACAGGCAAATTTAATTATTCATTACTACTCAGACTTTTGGGTTTGAATTTCATGACTTATGGGACAGAGACTCAGCAACTATTGTTCCATTTTTTCCATCGAACTTCCTAAGGGTCCAAAATTGTGGAAATCGAGTTCTCCTTTTACATGAGTCATCTTTCACTTGCGGGTTACAAACAATGCCTAACCTTAAGTAAGTCCATGTTAGACGGCAGGACTATTCCCACCTTACAAATATCTATTCTCACGCCTTTCACTTGAGGATTATTTTAAATGGGTCTAATTATTAATAATTAGGGTGGAGTTATTTCCACCCGACGAATATCTATTTTCACTATATTTAATTTATCAAACTACTAAGTTCACTTCTTCTATATCACCTCATTAATAACTAAATCCACCTTGTGCTATATAAACCCTTAAATAATTAACTTCACCTTATATCTTTTCATAATTAGGGTTTTATTCATCATCCCTTCACATACATTAACAAAAATAAATTTTTTATATGAATTTCTCTAATCATATATAAGTTAGTATTACTTCTCGATTTAATTATATGTTTGATTTCATGCATGCTGTATGGATTTCCATTCTTTTTATTGTGTTTATATAATACACATACGCATAATAAACACACCAACAAAAATCCTAAATCAACAATTATTGAACTTGACAGAGATACTAAAACATAACAAAAATAATGACTATATATATGCATTCAGATTGTTTTAATAAAAAGTGAAAATAAAGACTATTTCAATAAAAAAAAAACTTGTTTTGTTTGGCAAGCTTATGTCGTTTGTTAATTAACCTTTGCGAATTAGAAAGCTTTTTTTATTTTTTCGGCAACAAAATTCTTCCTCTATTTTATTGATTTCCGTCATTTCTTAATTTTTTTTTCTTATTTTCTTTTGGATTTTGATAGATTTTTTCTTTCTTCTTTTATTTTCTCACTTATTAAAGGGGTGTCTACAACATGAGATGAACTTAATTACTGATGAGATGAGTATAAATGAAGTGAACATAATAGTTTGATAATAAAAAAATTAAATAAGGTAAAAAGTGATATTTTTGGAATAAAAATAGCCTCACCGAAATAATTGAGGCACAATATATATTTGTCTTCCAAGGATAAGTGCACGTTTGCATAAATTATTTGAATGGAAGTTAACAATTGTACCATTTAAATATTGAGATTAGNTAATAGTTTGATAATAAAAAAATTAAATAAGGTAAAAAGTGATATTTTTGGAATAAAAATAGCCTCACCGAAATAATTGAGGCACAATATATATTTGTCTTCCAAGGATAAGTGCACATTTGCATAAATTATTTGAATGGAAGTTAACAATTGTACCATTTAAATATTGAGATTGGAGGAACACACTGAACACATACGCACACCACAACACACACTTTTCCCCCCAAATTTTAAAAACTCAACACATACGCACACCACAACACACAACTGCACATACATACACACATTCTACTATATACATAGTATAATAATTTAGTGTATAGAGACTTCAGTTACCGGATATCGCTAGTCTAATTAAACGAGAGAAAGAAAAAGATCTATTACAATAATACTAGAAATAATGTGAATGATTTTGAGAGAAATGTTAGTGATCATTAGATGANAACTCAACACATACGCACACCACAACACACAACTGCACATACATACACACATTCTAATATATACATAGTATAATAATTTAGTGTATAGAGACTTCAGTTACCGGATATCGCTAGTCTAATTAAACGAGAGAAAGAAAAGGATCTATTACAATAATACTAGAAATAATGTGAATGATTTTGAGAGAAATGTTAGTGATCATTAGATGAGTCTATTTGAGACCGTCAAATAAACTTATTAAAACATATCATGTTTTGTATTATAAATTATAGATGTCACATTATTATCTTTTTCATTGCACATAATCATAGAAATTCCTCCAATGCACCTCGTTAAACCAATCAAAAAGGGGAGGGGGAGGACCTCATACCGTGTTTGTATACCTAGACATCTTGAGTTCGAAATTTAACAATTCTTTGAAATAAGGTCACGAGAGATTTATCCTCATGAAATCTCTAGTCTCAACATAGATGGTTTATCTCAGACCAAACTTGAGAGAAAATCAATTGAGATACATGTAAGTTAGCCTAAACATCGTTAAATCGCAATATAAAAAAAAAGTATGAAAGATTATGTAATGCACCTC